TCTCTCTCTCTCTCTCTCTCTCTCTCTCTCTCTCTCTCTCTCTCTCTCTCTCTTTCTCTTTCTCTCCTTTTATATTTTATTTATATTATTTTTATTTTATATTTTTTGTTCCTTTGCTTTCATTCTTTATTTTTTCTTTTTTTCTACATTCTTAGAGAATTTATCCTAGAATTTATAGTAATAAACGTCATTGTCTATCTAACTCCCTCTCTTTCTCTTATTTCTCCTTTACTTCCTGAATGAATATCGCTCAGTTCGAGAAAATCAGTAAACGATGAGCACGGAATTCCCCTCGGAATTCTTTCACATAGAAGAAACATCCGATACTATTATCGCGAATTCTCGGATACCCGTTGTTCTGATAAACGGTTGTTCCGGAATCGAGAGATGAGTATTAAGACTCTCTCTCTCTTTCTCATCTCTCTCTCTCTCTCTCTCTCTCTCTCTCTCTCTCTCTCTCTCAGGTACCGGAAGGCTCGCTCGGCGTCGTTCCCAGTCTCGTCGTCGTTGGCCTCAACGTCGTCGTGGCCATCGAGAAAAACCTCCTGTCTAAACTAGGACTTCGTTGAATTTCCGGTTTCTTCCTCCTTCCTCCTACTTTATGGAATAATCCTCTTTTCCCTTCCCCGATACAAAGACACGTGACTCTTCCCCTTCACCTTCGTCTTCCGTCTTCCGGATATTTCTTTTGTCTCGTCTTTTCTTTTCCTTCTTTTCCAGACGGTGAATTTCCGACTCGTTAAACGGATTTAATTTCACCGAGTCTAACAAGCGCGATAACGGCGAGTCCTCGGCTTTAAATCCGAGATGGCACCAGCATATCGGCGTAGTCTTGTTTTGAAAGCGAGGACGACCCAGTTCGAGGACGACGACGAGGAGCGACCGCGCTTCGCTACTCTTGTCCTTCCTCGTCTGCGTCCTCGTACTCGAGATAAGAGCAGTCGTGTCGTGAGGGCTAGTGGTTGGACTCCGCGACAATTCTGTAAAATTACATAAACGGTCGAACTGGGAGACTCCGTTTTACTATGTCCATTTTTACATGGAAAAAATAATCATAATTAATTAACATATTAAGATATACGTTAAAATAGAGTCAATTTCAGCTTAAAAATGTAAATAAAAAGAAAAGTATATTTTTATAGATTTTGATCTTCTGGATATGATAAATTATTTAAAAGATCCCAATTTTTGTACGTACACCTTTTTTATATACCTGAATTTCATTCTAATTCTACTATATTCTTTTACTGTATATCTCGAATTAAAAATTTTTAACTGTTAAACATTATTATTAAGTTTAATATTTAAAAGAGTAGAAAAGAAAATAGAAATTCACTTTTGTTCATTAATTAAAAAAGACAGGCAAATATTTTTGAATGATAGTGTAGGTGCAGATCTGAAAATAATTTTGTTGGACTATTAAAATAACTATGTAGGACACTCAAGCATGATGAAGAATATCGCTATGAAAATAATTTTGATATTCTAGCAACCACTTTGAGTGTTCTACGTAATTATTTTAATAAAATTATATTCAGATCTGTACCTAGCTAAATTTTTAAATTACTTTAGCAAAGGTGTTCTTTCTGTGCATGATTGGATTATTCTGGGAATAATTATCTGGAATATATTTTTTTTTATTTTTATTTTCGCCTCCAGCGGCAACAAATATAAATTGTTGTAAAATATTTTTGTATGGATATTGTTTGATATATTTTTTCTTTTTTAATAATTATTCTTTATGAACTTTTGAATATGAAATTCTATTGAAACAATAAAAAGTGTTATATTAATTAAAATCTTTATATTTTTAAAAAATACTATCATAAGCTGTTCAACGTGCTTATTCCGTTTACAAAATTTTTAAATTTTTACTTACTTTTTTTCAGAAAATTACAATTAAATTCATATTAATTATTGGGTTGTCCGGAAAGTTCATGCCGGTGTTGAAGGAAAATTGAAACGCAGAAAATTTTAATTTAATAAATGTATACTAAAATTTAAATTTTAGTCGGCACAAACTTTTCGGATAACTCAATATTTTCTTAAATACTAAACCGAACACATTCAATAATATTACAATATGTTATTTATAATAACGAATATGTTATTTATAATAACTTCAATTATGAAAACAAGTGATCGTTTAAAATCTCGGGTGAACTTTCGGATTAAAGAAGTGTTGATAAAACGAAACAGAATTTGATTAACATATTTATAATCATAATAAATAATCTGATATCAAATGTTTGATTATGTTTATCAAAATTTATGCAGTCAAATGTGTATCTGCAGGTTATTTTAAAATTATTAATCGTTTATATTTTACCAAATAATCTGATTATTCTATATATACATATTCTACATGTACTTTTATACCTACTAATTTATTCTACATTTTATACGTACTAATTTATTCTACATTTTACATTTTTTTCAGTAACAATATGAATTAACTTTAATCTTTAATTTGCTCTTCATCTTTTCCTAATTAAAAGAATATATAAAAATTTTTCAATGTTTAAGATTTTCATCAAATTATTAATATTCTTATAAGATTCTTATTGACACATTAATATTGTTAAATTGCTTGTCAATTTAATATGTAATATTACTACTTTCATTTTGTTCATAAATGCGTTTCAAGACTGAAAAAGATTTCGGCGTTTGGTTTGCAGAATTGGATATAAATTCACACATAAATATTCTAAGCACTAAGATTAGCTTTAATCGAAAATAGGATTTTTCTTATTTAATATTTATTCTTCTCGCTCCATTTTTCTATTTATAATAAAAAGCTTAACTGAGTAAATTAATTTTTAAATTTATTTAAATTTTAATTTAATTTCAAAATTAATCTACATTGGACAGAAATGGACATTACATACATTTTTTAGAACTTACGACGAATTTGAAGTCAATAACACGTGCACCGAGAGTGCATTTGTCGCACGATCTATCTAAACTTTTTCGGAAACGAACGGTCATGTGGGAAGAATTGAGAACAGGGGAGAGAAAACAAGAAGGGCGAAATCGACTCTCTCGAGGGAGCAGAAAATTATCGGTGATGGAGGCGACTTCTACTGCATGTGACTACACTATAGGAAACGGTAGACAGCTTCTAATCATAGTGGTGCCGTATAAGATTAAAGGTATTGATTAGAGTCTCAAATAAGAGATTGGATACCAATAGATCATAGACATTCGGTCAACCATATTTTTTAGGACCTCATGCTTAAGATAGAATGAAATATCTACGCATTTCATTCTATTTTATCTATCTCTCATTCTATCTCAAATAAGTCCTGAAAAATATGGCGAAGCAATCAGAAGTTGTCTAAACGATATCCAATCTCTTACTTGAGGATCTCTAGATACCGACATGTTTTGGCGAAATCCTGCGAGTAAGAAAGAAATATATATACGTACTCTATTTAATAGTGTAACTATCAATTGTTACCTGCTCCCAAGTAGTAGGGTGACGTTTTATTGATATTAAAGATGTTAAAGACATTAGAGACATCATTAAGACATCATTTGACATCACCTTGCTACTTGAGTCAATTGTTATCCTGTCGCAAATTGACTCAGGTGCATTATGAGACAGAATATAACAATAAAATATTGGGGATCATGAAATTGTGCATTTGTTTATAAGCAATATATTTTATGTATAATATTTATACAGTGTATACTGCTGATTGCGTATAGATGTGTGTGTGTATTATTACGTATATTGTAACAATACATACACATTATGAATCTATTTATGCAATATACACGTAAAGGATTATTTATACACTACATAAATGTTATACATAAAGTATATTACTTGCAAACAAATGCACAATTTCGTGATTCCCAATATTTTATTGTTATATCCTGTCTCATAATACACCTGAGTCAATTTCCTGTGGAACCCATATGGGAATATGCGGCAGGGATTAGCTGTATGATTAAGTGCAATGTATAATAAATAACATTGCTGATGTTATATTGCAAAAAGAATAGTAATATGATTGGCTTTAGTATTACTTAACAATTCTATGAAGAAAGGATATATTATCTTTAAATTTCTTGGAGTGAAATCTCACTCCAAAAGAATTAAAATACTATCATTGAAAAAGAGTGAGAAATTTTCACTCTTAAATAAGATTAGATTTTCATTCTTTTTTAGAGTGAGATTCACTTCGAACAAGGAGTAAGATTTCTTTTTCTTGGAATGAATCTCACTTTAAAAAAGTAAAAATCTGTTTAAATCTGAGTTTAAATCTGCCACTCTTTTTCAATAATGGCAGCATTTTAAAGTGAGATTTTACTCCAAGAAATTTAAACCCAGAATGTTGATGTGATGGGAGAGTAATATAAATAATAGATATAAAAATGGAATTCCATAAAAAATTCATCTTTACATAAAGTAAAGTTGTTTGTTTTATAAATATTTACAATGTTATAATAAAAAGATTCATAATATCTGCAAATACATACAGATTGATTAAAGTACATAGTCGATTTGTTTATGAATTTTGATCAGAAATCAATACAATTGAAAAATGGTGGGAATAGCTAAAACATGGCGGACCAATCACAAGTGATAGTCGCATGGCGCCACTCTGATTAGAAGCTTTCTAGGGAACGGTATCGGCTTCTCGCCTGCCTATATCGCGCATCCGCTTTTCGGACTAATAATTTCGCCCGACGACTTCCGGTCCGTGATTGCTCGGGAAACTGCTAATGCGTGCTACGTCCTACATAGAGTGTACATATATACGCCGGGCGCATCGGCACGTAGTGTATATCTCGACGGGGAGGATGCGAGAGGGTGGATTTTGGGCAAAGACTGGTGGATGGCATGGGCGGGAGTCGGACAAGGGCAAGGGCACGAATAT